AAAGTTGAGGCCTTTGGATAAAACCTTAATTGTTGCATCATCCAGTATTTGTTTTGACAGATTATAGAACGCGATTAATCTATGATCTATATATATATATATATATATATATATATATATATATATATATATATATATATATATATATATGTATATATATATATCTTATAGAAAAACTTATACCTATAAATAAGTTAGCATTTACAAGTTGTTCCTGCTATTTCAGTAGCATTAGCCAGCACGACGCACAAGATCTTTTTATAGAATTGGAAACAGCGAGTATACGACTCACGGAGAGTAACCATCGCTACCCATGACTATCAGCAACATCGGTTTTTTAGAAAGGATCAGATTTGTTCCCAATCCCATGATAAACAACCATATTAAAAAAATGCCGTAGAAGAGAATTCTTGGTAAAACGCAAGATAGTGGACTGCCATCACAAAAACAGGCACCTAGATGATATAAATACAATCAAGATAATTAAGTGATGTGATGTGATTAATTGTGATTCTACCATCGCAACGTTTATTGTGATTCGTAGTATACGGAGTAATGATAGAATTTAGTAGCTGGAATTAATCCAAACAATACACACAAAATGTGGATTCACACCCAATGTTGGTATTGTTGCACGCCACTATTAACGCCCCGTACATGGCGACACTAGTTACCACTAGCACCTTCTAGTATCGAATAGCAGAACTATCAGAATCAAGATCCTTCTAGAAATTTCCATGTCAGAACTTTCTAGAACTAACGACACCTAGTCAGTCGGGACCTGTATGTATTCGAACATTATAGATGTTTCTACATTAGAAGGTTCTGGCACTATCTAAGGCCATATAAGGCAGGTATATACCGCGACCCTAGTCGGTATTGAATTGGCAATACAGGTGAATATTTCGAAGCGATACAACTGCGAACTAAAGTAATCAGTAGTACAATTGTATTTTGTTATTAGTGTGGTTTTAAGTAGTAACTAGGGATCTGTAAGTAAAGAGTCAATTTTAGTAATTATAAAGTCAATTTAAGTAATTCACCCGGCATGTTTTATTGTCTCGAACTTAGGGTTCGTAACAGTATTATAATTCGATAGAAAATTCAGTTAGATGCAGCGTCTCTTGCAAGGTCAGTAAATTAAGCCGATCGAAAAGAACTTGGTCGTCGACGGTTCGTGCTGCTCTCGGTAAAATATGATAAAGAGTTAGTACTGTGGCGCTCCGGTTTAGAGAAAGTAAAAAGAGAACAGTATTTTATGTGAGACCGATTCTGTGGCTTGTAAAGTTGCAAACGATGAGCCTGCATTAAAATTACATATTACTCCGTAAAGCACACCAAGCCGTTTAGAAGCCAATTTAGTATTTTCTTCTAAGTAACTGCACAACTGTAAGTAACTCGATATGTTAACGCTAAGAATTTTGATACTGGCTATGGCAACAGAGGGAGTACCCTCAAAAAAAGGAAATAAGTCAAAGGGATTCCCTTTAGCGGTAAACGCACAACCCTGTCTTTTTATTCAGTTAATATATTCATCATCATTATCTTCATTACCTCCCTTCGCAAGTCCGCTACTGAACATGGACCTCCCCCAAGGAATGCCTCAAAGTACGATCTTGAACCGCTTGCACTCATCGACTTCCTGCATGTTTTACTCGTCAACAACTTCGAGCGTAGTGCTCTCAACAACTAATGGTATAGATGTGACATGGATGTTACATAAACTTCGTTTTGTCTATGTTCATCTTACGACATATGCGTTTGGAGACCATACCGAGGCCATATAGCATAGTGATCGTGGATCTACCTCGAGTGATTCTGCCATAAGGACTACATCGTCGGAAAATCGAAGGTGAGTGATGTACTCTCTATTTATATTGATACCCTAACCTTTCCAGTGAAGAGTTTCGGGGATCTAACATCATCCTGTCTTACACCTCTCTGCAATCGGATAGGTTTCGTACTCTAGTTTTGTATTCGGATAGTCATCGTAGCCTTACTGTACAAAAACATCAGCACTTCGATGTACCGACGGTCAACTTGGCAGCGCTGAAGGGTATGTACCGCCCAAGTTTCGACGTAACCAAAGGCTTTCACATAGTCCACACACGCAAGGCTAAGTGGTAGATTGTACTCTTCGGTCTTATGTACAATTTGCCGAAGGGTATGTATGTGGTCTTTGGTACTAAGGCCTTTTTGAAAACCGGCTTGTTCGGGAGACTGAAAGTCGTCGGGTTTGTGTGCGAGACGATTGGTAATAACTCTAAAAAACAGCACGTAGACGCCTCAAAAGGGAAATCGGTCTGTAGCTCTTCAAAAGAGCGTTACCGCCTTTCTTGAAAAACAACTGCTCGACCCCTCCAGAGTAGTCCTACCATGGAGAACGGAATTAAAGAGCTTCTGAAGGACTGCAAATATTGGTTTTCCACCCGCTTTCAGAAGCTCCGCTATAATTATATCCTCGCTCGGGGACATGCCAGTTTTGAGGTGCTGGAGATCCATTCTTATGTCGATCCGACTGATGACCGGGATATCGTTGGAATACTGGCGGATAATACTTTCTCTTATACGTTACACACACTTGCGTGTGCGGTGTGACTCCAACGATGACGTGTACAGATGCCAAGAACCTATCAATTTTACTCAAAATATCAGGTATCCTGGAAACTATGCTACCACATTCGGTCTTCAGCTTCGGCTCTTTCTGGCAGACAGATCTCTGGAAAAGATTTTGTAGCACTGGTTTCGCTCGATAGCGTCCTCAATACGAGCTGTGTTGAAGTTGATTAAGTTCCGTCGCATGCATTTAGAGATCTGCCTATTCAGTTGCCTGTATGCTGTCATATATGCCGAAGACTGCAGCTTCATTTCCAGTAAATCAACCATGAGATTAAGAGTGTGATTGGAGAGTTTTTGTGTTCTTTGGCAGTAGTTCTTACAAAACTTAGCTCTGACTAGAGCATGTCATTTATATCGTCCACTGCTTTGCAGTCTTCTAGGCACTTGACTTTGTTACTCGAGCTGAAAGTTTTCGGGACTTTGCATTAGATCATGAGGGGAACGAAGCGTTGACTTCATTAGACGTGACTTCTCCAACTTAACGGTAAGGTTCAGTGCCTCAAACCATTCGGTGATCGTTGCCAGTTTTCACTTTCGCGATCAGTGACACATCACTGAACAGTTGCCATCTAGTCGTCATAAAAAAGTCAATCTCATTTTTTGTCGAACTTTCGGCGCTCGATCTGCCACTTTCTGTGGGGCCGCTTCTGAAAGATTCATCATAAAGTGTACCTCTTTCTGTATGTGGTTGGCCACCTGCTGGCCCCTTGGGTTCCGTTTACGTATTCGGAATGTCCCTAGCTTCAGCTCACCGTTTTCTCATGTGCCTAGTTTTGCATTGAAGTCTCCCATTAACACCGTATAGTGTATTTTGGAGGAATACATGGCTTTAGAGAGATCCGCATAAATTTCCTCCACCTCCTCATCGGGATGTGGCGAGGTTGGTGCGTAAACCTGTGTGACCTTTAACGAATACCGTTTGGTGATTTTGAGTATAGGGTACGCAACCCTCGTCGACACACTACTAATTTTAACACAATGATGTTAACGAGAGATTTGTGAATAATAAATGCGACACCTCTTTGGTACAGATGAACGCCCTCCCGATAATAGAAAAAGTTGCCGGATTCGATGATTACCGTGTTCGTGGCTCTTTGAACCTAAGATAATCCTGTAATATCCCAGCGCAACTCGTCTATCTCTTTATCCAGCTCCAGGATATTCGTGTCAGTCCTCAAGGTGCGTGCGTTAATTGTGGCCAGATCGAGTCGTCTTAGGTGGCAACCAAACCTCAACCGGAGATTTTTAGCACCCGCTGTCCTGTTACGATGGGCGCCACCATAGCCAGGAATAGCAGGGCCGCCGGGGACTGGGGGCCGTTTGTTTCCATGCTCATTGAGGGATGTTTGCCATAGTACCCACGCAACCGCAGTTTTTTTATAATACTATTGTTTTTATCAGAAAGATACTGCTGTCCGTCTCCTACCTCAGTTTCCCTCTGTCGGGTCTTACGACACCCGGGAAGATATGGGGTAGTGGGTATTCTTACACCGCCACTACACACCGCAAATAATTATTCACTTAATTTATCTTAATTCCAATTAATATACCTTGAATTTATTATTTTTATTTGAGTAATCGCTGTATTATTATTTATTACTTTCCGTTGTCATCAATCCCATCGAAACCGTTTGTCCACCAATGAACTCCCAGTTTTAATGAAAAACTACTCACAAATCACTAGAAGTTTATTTCTTTTGAAATCCGTATTGAGCTAGTATTCCCTAAAGGAAATGGCTACTGTTGGGCAGAACTTTCGTTTCATATCCAATATTTGGCATTTTCGGCAAGTTTATAGAATATCCGAGTGAATCACCGAATGATAAGCAAAAGAAGCTGTTATGTAAACTTCTCTGCATAGAGTTGTTTGAGAGTGAGCGTATTTAATTAATTAATGCAATGGTATAGATCGTTGTGTTGCTTTCATAAACTAAGTAAGCTAAGTAAGCTTAAGACGCTGTAGTTTAAATCCCAAGAACAATAAATAAAAAGATGGTTATCGAAAAATGTACCTCTGTTTATAAGTGTATATAACACGATTTAGTAACTTGATTTAGGTACAGTGAACTCTATAATGTAATGAGGTCTTTATTGTTACGAATAAAACGTGTTTCTTTTAATATTTTAATCAATATTCTCCATAACTCTTTCTTCTCCTTAGAGCCTCGGAGGCTAAGGCCCTAGGAAGAGTTCTATTTGCCATTGTTGCCCCGCTTGGCAGGCAGATTGGCAATTGCTGTTTTTATTATTATAAGCATCCCCGGAGAGCTTCTGCTGCTCATATTCATTTCTCTCTTTTGCCCCTTACGACAGCCACGGTGTGATGTGAGGTGGTATTTTACACCGCCATGACACGGCACACATCTTTAAACATTTAGATTTTAGTTAAAAAAATTCTTACCGTGAGTAAAGATGTTAATGGTCTCATTGTGGAAATAGAAGAGACTTCGAACACATCCACTCCAGTCTTGCAGCGGCCGGTAACCTGTCAGCACGTACGGATTGAACTGCAGATGCTTAGGCATATCTCGCCAGTGCAGGAGCTCCACAGTATCGTTAGCAGCGGTTTCCTTTGTTCCATTCTCCGCAGGTCTTTCCTCATTCTCACTCGTATTCAATTCCGCCCGCTGGCCCTTATCACAGATATGTTCCAGTGACTTTTTCCTCTTCTTCGGCCCCTTCCCGTTCACTTCTTGAATCGAAGCGTCAAACATTTTTATACACTCATCAGGTACTGTACTAACGTCCCTCATAACGATACTGTTCCCTTACTCTCGCACTGACGAAGAGCGGGAGATGTCACGAATGTTGTCGAGTACCGCGCCCGCATGACCCGTGGTCAGTTTTGTACGAATATCACAGCTAAAGCATGGAATAAGTCGACGCTATTGATTAAAACAATTATGGGAATAGTTTTCTTTCAACGAATTAGGTTTTTAGTTAGGGCGCGCGACCCTCGATTATGCCGGTACGTGCGGCAAAGTCGCGCTAGGTTAGCGGGCCACGGAGGCGCGCGACTGTCCGGGCGCCGCCGCAGACCCTAACCCCTGCCCCTTTCAACCACCCCTCGCCCCTCATATTTGCGCACTGCGCAATCTCGATCAGCTGATTCCCGCCAGGAGAACCCGTTAGGCATTTCACGATAATCGTACTTTCACTTATAGCGTGTGCTCATTCTTAAGCATTCTTACTTTTACATTTCTCAATCTACTTACTACGATTATACAGTAGATTTACTAATAGATAAAATTATGGTAGAGCATTATAAAATTACATACCCACAATTGATTCGAAATCAGACAGATAAGTTCGTGTTATAATGGAAAATGATTACATACCAAAAATAAGTTTTATTTATTTATTTAACTTCATACACCATAATAATATATTATGTAGAGCCGGACTTAATGCCCTAGGCATTCTCATAGTCAACCTAGAGTGATGGTCTGCATAAATATGAAGTATGTGTGTAAGATATAAAAATATAGAATTATAAATTAAAGTAAATAAATACATATACCTTACATAAAGTAACATATCAAATATAATTTAATATACCTATGCATAATATTCTATACATAAAAATCAATTGCTGTGCGTTAGTCTCGCAAACACTCGAAAATTGCTCGACTGATTGTGAGCATTTTTTTGTATTTATTTGAGTGTGTCCCTGGATGGTTTAAAAACTCAATTGGGCCCGGTAGGTGGCGCTATTGTCGAGATCCAGAAATCACCCGTGCGAAGCCGGGGCGGTTTGCCAGTCTCTTATAAAAATCAATTGCTCTCCGTTAGTCCCCCTAAATGTATGAACAATTTTGATGAAATATTTTCTGTGCGTTTGGGTAGGTTTTAATTTACGAATGGAAGTTGACGCTGTCGTCGAGATCCAGAAATCACTCGTGCGAAGCCCGTGCTTTATGTACATCTTAATATATATAAATTACGTGTCACGTTGTTTGTCCGCGATGGACCCCTAAACTACTTAACCGATTTTAATCAAATTTGCACACCGTGTGCAGTTTGGTCCAACTTGAGAGATAGGATAGTTTTTTTGTCCATGATTGACCCACAATTTTTTTTTTTGGGAATTTAAGGATTTTTAATAGGACATGACAAAGTGTCGTCGAAAAGGGCAGAACAACGTCTGCCTGGCAAGCTAGTATAAATATAAATAAATCATAATAACTTCTATATTAATATAATTATATAATTATATAAATGCAAATGAGCTACTAATGAGATGATTCTGCCAGTTTATTCAAATAATTTTCTGAACTTTCTTCTAGAACGTATTTAACGACTGTTAGCCATTCACAAAGTCGGGGAAAAAGTTTCTTCGTATTTTATATGCAAATTCAAGACATTTTTTTTTCGAATTTTAATTACATTTAATTATAATATATACGTGCCATTTTGTTTGATAACTTGTTACCATCTTGTAGGTAGTGACATAATCCCGTTCTACATCTTGGGATTTTTTATCAAAAAAAATGCGACAAGTAGTTTTGACAGTCCTTTCTTAATATTAACCTAACTAACACTACCTAAATAATTCTGAAGAGACCGAAACAAGTGAAAATCTGAGGGTGCAAGGCTTCGATCAACAATATTGTTCACAGAAGGTGCAAGGTCAGGAATATATAGTAGATGCATTAACAAGTCTTAACCAAACTCTCAGAATAATTGCTTAGTGGCTAGAGATGTGTGTGGTCTGGCGTTATCATGATGAAGGACCACTCCTTTTCTGTTGGCAGCAGAGATCCGAATCGATGGTTTTGCCCGGCGGTAAAAGCCCATAATAAAAGATATCCTTCCAATCCCACACAGCATCGAATTATTGCGCGTTAATCCGGGTTTCCTACAGTCTGTGGAATTTGACTACCCTTTGACCATGATCTTTTTTGCACGTTCTTTTCGTAGGTGATCAATCTTTCCAAAAATAATTCGGTTTCATTACGTTTCAATAGAGAATGGCAAATAAGTACACGATTCATTAGGTTTTTTTTTCAGTGAGCTCGTGTGGTACCCAAAAATCGAGCTTTTTTTTTTGTAAAGCCAGACTTTTTCAAATGGGTCAAAACTGTTTTGTAGTCAATTCTCAATTCCTCGGCTATGTCTTAACTACTAACATGCCGATCTTGCTCCACTTTTTCAAAAATAGCATCGACTTTATCCATATGAGAGCGACAAGAGCGAGCTGCATCTTTGACATCAAAATTTCCGTATTGAAAACGCTGACACTGCATTAGGTCCATAAACGACACAATTTTTTTTTGCGACATGAGTAGCATCTTTTTTTATTTTAAGTGTTTTTTACTTTTTACTTTTCTTTTTCTTAATGTCCTATACGTATTAATATTAAAACCACCCAGATACAAACGGTACAACCAAAGAGATTTTTATTCAATTTTATACAAAAAATATACGAAGAAACTTTATCCATGATCTATATACATAGAGCGTTTGTAATAATTAAAAACAATTACTATTTGAGGCGTATACCGTTATCGTTACAACCTATTAAAGTCCACTGCTGAACATGGGCAATCCCCATAGATTGCCTCATAGAGGAGATATTTGCCATAGTTGCCACGCTTGCCAACCATAGTTTTATTTTTAGTCATTATTAGACAGAAGACTGCTGCTCATCTCCTGGTTTGTATTGCCTCTGTCGCCACATACGATACCCACGGGATGATATGGGGTAGTAGATATTCTTAGACCGCCACTACACGGAGGCGTATGTTTGCTAATAAAATAAGTCAGGCGTCAACACTTAGCTTAACTAAAACCTATTTACCCCTGCCTTGAAGACACCTACATTGTAATTTAATAGAAAGACAGATGCTGGCAACTTATTCCACTCCTTTGCTGTACACTTGACGAATGATGGAGCAAGCAGTTTTGTTCGAATGCATGGTGTGTCGACAACAAAGAGTTGGAGACCCGTCGACCGCCTGGTTGTTAATTTTTCCTTTTTTTTTGTTTGTAATAAAACTTCAGAATGTATCGAATTTCTTCGTTAGATGCACTCATTTTGGCGGACAGGAAAACGATTGAAAAATGACGGGAAAGTGTTTTATACTTTTTATTTTTCTTTTTCTTAATGTCCTATATGTCAGATACAAACAGTACCTACAACCAAAGAGATTTTTCTTCAATTTTATACAAACAAAATACGAAGAAACTTTTTCCCCGACCTATCAATTTTAAGAGGGAGAGCGTCCCAGAGGAGAACAGACGGTACAGTGAAGGAGGAAGGATGAAGCATGTATGCGAAAAGTAAAGCCAGATCATTGAGAAGGACACATTAGTCAAAGGGTGTTCGAAGAACACAGGTGGACAAATAGAAAACCACTTAAGTCGGAAACAATAAGCAGACCCATGGTCATACGAAGATTGAAAATGAATGAAACGCAGTTATTAAGAATACGACCATATTTATCAAGAAGATCTGTATTCAGGATAAATTAACACACATCAACCTAATCAGTCGGGGAAGAATTAAGGATTGTACAATTAATACTCTGCATGGAAAAAGGATTTTTAAAACGGCGGAGAGCCAACAGGATACCGGATACTTTCTGGCTTATATTTATCACTTGGGTATAAGTGATAATATTTGTCAATTAGGTACGATAGTGGCTCAACTAAAAGTGGATTCAATAAATAAAAATAAGTCTTAAGCCAAGATCCTTGACAGAAGCGCATAATCCCAAAATAGAGCCATTGAAAATGATCGGGGATAGAGCGGTAGCGTCCAAGTTTTGGCTACCTACTATTACGGCCCTGACAGATGGATTAACAGTTAAATAAAAACTGTCATACCATCTATTAATATGGCTCTAGGTTCCCATTGACCATATCCACCACGGCGGCATACAATCATCATTCGCTTATGAGTCACTATCTCACAATCTCGTTATCTCACTGGCCTAAAATCTTATCTGTGTACAAAACGAAACATTACAAACCATTCCGTGTGACTGGTAGTTCTTTCACGGTTTCAACTCACTTTTACATTAATAATATAGTTGAACTTCGGACTCGTTATACACAAAGGTTTATTATTACCAGTAAAATATATTTAAGTATATTATTTTCAACTTTATAAATAAACCCTCACGCCTGTCACCCAGAGAGGTAAGCAGAGACTACATACTTCCATTTAGCACGATCCTAACATACCTCTCTCGCCTCCTCCAAATTCATATACCTACGCATATATGCTCGTCGGTTAAGGATACTGTTAATTTGACCCATTTTCAATATAACACCAAATTGGTCAATAAACTTTCGCCTAGGACAACCCTTTCCGACTCTACTGTTCACTTATGCAATATAAATTTGCTTTGTCACTCTTTCCTCATTCATTCTTTCTACGTGACCAAACCACCGAAGCATTCTTTTCTTAATTCTGGTCACAGTATCATCTTGCAAACCACACTCTTCTTTTATCACACAACTTCTCACCCTGTCACTCATATTCAGCCCTAACATACTCCTTAGCAACCGCATTTCTACTGCATTTATTCTACTCTCGTGCTTCTTCTGCCACACCCAACTTTCACTACCATACGTTAAAATAGGGACTAACACAGCACTGTGAATTGCCTTACGTGCGCGTGGCTTTTTTTAAACGTTCTGACTTTTCACAATCGAGTGTAGAGCCTCATTTACTTTATTTGCGGCGTTCACTCGTCCTTCTATATTC